ATTCATGTATTTATATAAAATTATAAATTTCATTTTTTAATTTTTAAACTTAGTCAATGATATTTTAACAAATACAAAATATCTAACTATTTTTAATATATTCTCAAATTTGATAGGTATAATTAAATACAGAAATTTCAATTCCAGTAAAAATTGATCAATTTAAGTTAAATCAAAATTTTAACTGATGATTTTAAAAACTTAGATTTTAAACTAACAGTTAAAATTTTATTTTTATATATAGTAATTAAAGTTTTAATGCAAAAAGACTGAATAATTTTTATTATAACTAAAATATTCAAGTACAAAATATCAAAAAACAAAAGTTCAAATAGTAAATTTATACTTTACAAAAATAAAAATATCAAGTTCCTATTATAGAGGTTCCACACTATATTAGATAATTAGATATAATTCACTTTTGTTATATTTTTTGAAGTAATTCATATAACTCCTTATATTATAAACAAATCAAAATTTTCTGATCATGTGATATAAACAAATTCTGAAATATTTTTTGAATCAAAAATCTGCAAATAAGTAGATATTTATTACACTGGTCAAAAATTGATAAAACATACACATATCGGGTACCCGATATGTGTATGGTGTTTCCCTAATATTGGGCATATATCGGGTACCCGATATGTGTAGGAAATATTTTTTTACACTTATTGAGTACCCGATATATATATAAAATATTTTCTACACATATCGGGTACCCGATATATGTCCGATATTAAGGAAACACCATGCACATATCGGGTACCCGATATGTGTATGTTTTATTAATTTTCGACCAGTGTTACTACTTATTATTACTTATTTTCATATATTCACTATCTTGTATTGTCTCTTTCATTTTTGTCCTTCATTAAATTTTCCATTCTATTAATATCAGTTAAGAATTTGATCTTTACTTCTTTTTTCTGCTTATATTTATACTTTATTTTAGCTATGCTAATTATGTGTATGACTTTTGAACTGTGTACTGTGAAAACTATGAATACTACAAAGAAAACATTGAGATTTGCAAAGATATAATTACTTTCTTAGTGGGATACTATTAATTAAAGGAGTAGTAATAACTATAAACTATTACTACCTCCACAGTAGCCATGAAATTTCACCTGTTTAAGATTTGATATTAATTTAGTATTTTATCTTTTTTCTTTTTATTTTATTTTTTTTATTATGTAATAAATTGATTAATTAATTTACATTTATAAAATAGTCTTTAAAAATACATATAAAGAACTTTAATTTTCTTCCTTATATAATTAATCAGAATTTAATTACTTAATGAATAGAAATAATTAAATAGTCTTAAGTGAAATCAATAATAAATTAGAATAGATTTCTTTATTTTTTTATTTTTTTTATTTCTTGTATTTTTTTTATTTTTCTTTAATAAAAACATTATTTTTTTTATATAATAAAACATCTTTCTTTCTTATTTTCTTTGTTTCATTTTTTTTTAAAATAGTAGTAAATTTATAAATTACATAATCTTGAGTTTTATTCATAAAAATAAACTACTGATCTTTGTTTTTTCACTTATTTGATCATGTGACTTAACTAAAACTACTCAAATCTATTCTATCTAAGTCCTTAATGAAATTATTTTATTCTGATTCACTCATTTTTCTGATCTAAAATCTGTTAATATCTTTCTTCTTTTATTGTTTTATCTTTTATCCTTTCTTTATACTTGTCCATTTTTGTCTTTAATTGTTCTAAATCCAGATTTTTCCATTTCTATAGAATAGATTAGTTCTTTTAGTTAGTATCTATACATTCTATACTTCCAAAATCCCTGATAACTACTGGACTAAATCCAAGCACTTTTCTTGTACTTGCTTCTACTCTCTCAACAGGTAGTATTATTGGGTTAGTACAAAAAATTAGAAATCTTAACCTGCTCCATGACAGAGTGATACATAACCCAAGTTGATACCAGAATATTATGCTCCAATTAATAACTCTAGTTAACAGGTAATCAGAAAAATATCATGTATAAATTCACAAATAGGTTTTTTGCATGTGAAAAAATTCTAAGTCTCCAGGATATTTAATAAAAATCAATATTCAAATAGTGTGACACATAGTGATAAATATACTACTCTTGACAAATCCTAATCCTAACTCATGCATTTAAACATATGGAGTGAAAATAGTTCTGGTGATACTGGGTAAGTGTATTTATTTCTACCATATTAGCTGATTCTGAACAAATTAATTTGAATATGTCAAATTTTATTTAAAAATTATACTTGAAATAATGTGAAGTTATTTTTATTTATGAATTTAAAATTCTTTGTTGATAAAGTTCTAATTAAAGATCATTGCTATATATGGAAAAAAATAAACTATCATCCATTTTTTTCAATTTCTTTTTGCTATACTTTTTTGATCTCTTGAAAATAACAGCAATTTATAAATTTTTCTTTTTGAACAAATTGATAAAAAATCATTTTCACAATTTTATAATTATTAAAATAAAAAAAATTATTCAAAACAAAATATTTTATTGAATTATCATAACAATGTTCCCTGATTCGTGTCCTCTTGTTTATTATTATTCTATATTATTAGATAAAAACTACTGTACAATGAATACTTTGAATGCCAACTTCAATTTACAATTCCAAATTAAAGTTTTCACTGCTTGATGTAAGTGGAAAATTTGTAATAACTTTTTGTTAGTTATACTTTTTTCTTAATCTAACTTTTAATTCATCACAATTCCTAATTGTCGAAATATGTTCTTTTAATGGACCCATTAATTCAATGTTGTATTTTCGGCTAAAGTGGCTTTAAGTTCCATCATTACTAAATTTCTCCCCGGACCTGTCAATAGACAAAATTAGATGATCTATATTTATATTGTAATGATGTTTCCTTTCATTATTGAGGAGAAGTTACTTACATTTTCTCAAACCTCCACCAAACATATAAAGATGGTGTTTACTCTCTGGATCTTCCAGAAATCTATCCGGATTAAATGTATCAGAGTCTTTCCAATATGATTTGTTATTGTGAATTCCAACAGCATTTATGATAAAGGTGGTCCCTTTGGACCATAAATGACCTCCCACAACTTCTGAAGCAGAATTGATTCTAGCAAGTATTGTGGCCAAAGTTTTTTTCCTTGATGCTGCAATTATAAAAATTATAAAAAAAAATATTTTTTGAAATTCATGCTTCAAAGATTTGAATGTCAATTACCTTCTTTGATAACAGCTCCAACATATTCAAGTTTTGATAAATCTTCAAATGTAAATGAAGAATCCGGATCCTTGCCAAGAACATGTTCAATTTATTCTATCATTTTTTGTTTGACCCTGGGATTACTTTCCAAACAATAAACTAAAAAACACATGGAATTTGAACTCTGTACAAAGAATAACAAATATTTAACTGTGAGTAAAAAGAAGAAAAGTTATGAATGATAATATAATAATCAAAATTAATTACCGTATCAACACCGGCCGTCATTGTTGTCATAAAATTTGTCCGAACATCTTTATCAGACATTGGTTTATCATGAAGGGTGTTTTAGAAATTTCTTCTCGTTTTAGTTTAATAATATTATCAGCATGATTCCTAAACCAACTTGTTCTGTCCTTTAAGTATTGAGTGTATCTATTAACTCTGGGTAAGTTTCGAATAAATTTTGAAATCGAGTTGAAATAAATCAGGCTTCGATCAAGTGCACTCGCCAATTCTATAAATATGTCACTTTCTTTGAGAATGCTTTTGGGTATATTTAATTCTTTATTCGGGTTTACTTTACAGTAATAATTTATCATTGTATGTGCAGATTTATTGGTGATAACAAAAAACGCAGTATCAAGAAGGTATCGTCTCATCCAATTATTAAATTCCAATATTTTGTCTTCCCCAAGTTTATCCCAATATTTTGACATTTCCGAGAAATGTTCTTGTACAACCTTAAAGGAATGTTCAATGAATTGAGGTGCCAACATAACTTTGGCAAAAAACCTACGATGATAGCTCCAATCATCATAATTAGTAGACGATAAACCAACATTCAATAAACCAATTTCTTTATACCCTTCAGAACTATCACTGAAACGATTATGAAATGGACCTTTAATGACTGGCTTCCAAATATTTCGAGCAAGGTTTTCATCGCTCACCAAAATGAAACGTTTGGATCCCATATAATATTCGCATAGATCACCATATTTAACGCGTATAGCATCCACATCGTAAGATAAATTTTTCAAAACTTGATGAATATTACCAATAAATGGAAGTGGAAAGGGACCAGGAAGTGGATTCTCACGTGTAAAGTATTTGTAATAATAATTTGAGACATAGGCTGCTGTTATAATAATTAATGATATCTTTAATATTTCGTACGAGAAATTTATAGTGTATAACTGGGAAAGAAGGTTGGAAAACATCTTGAAAAGAATGAGAATGGGGAAAGGAAGTGGTAATAGGTCTTGCGTTTGTATTTATTATATTATGATAAGCCCTGATCTTACTAAAAATAATACTTTATAATATTTATTATATTATGATAAGCTCTAAAAATAATGCTTTATAATATTTGTAATATTGGTTTCCATTCTAGGATATGATTTTGGGACAACACTACAATTTAGAAAATATGTATTTAGTTATTTTTCGAATCTAATTATGTCTAGCATTGTTACATGAACGTAGTTAGTATCTTAATGTTATATTTTTATTTATTTATTTATTTAATTTGACAGGCGCAAATTCATTTTAATAAAAATTTTACTTTGAAACGTCAATTATTCCCTTATTTAGAAACATTTTTTACTTTCGTATATAGCAATTATTATTAATACTTTTGCTAGGGGAGTGTGCATGAAAACATTAAAAATTAAACAAATCGAATCACCAAATCGCCTAATTCTGACCTCTTATTATTAAATTTAAAAATGCATATGAAGAAAATTTGTCAAAAAAAAAAAAATTATACTAATTTCTTTATCTTGCTTTTAAAGATTCCCATGAATATTTGGTTTAAATGGGATAAAGCCCTGCTTCTTCGATTCTTCACTTTTTTGTTTTAACTTATCTTCAGAAGCAACTCGTGTACCCTTTTGGGCAATACTTGTTCCTTCTTCACCACCCGAATGTGAGCATAATGGCGGTAGAAATTTAGGTAGTGTAGTAATTTTTGCATGAAATTATTATAACAAACGATCTAAGGACATAATTTGAACTATTCTACCACGTGAACTACTTGCGAGTTGACATGCTTAACGTAGGTGTTTGATAATTTAAAGTGTAGTGAAAGAAATTATATTTAGATACTATTTATTGGTTGTAGACATCTTGATTAGTTGATAGAGGCAAAACTATATGTCATGTGAGCATATTATCAGTAAAAAAGGAAATGCGATAAAAAAGATACATAACAGATAGGCAAACTGATAGCTGAGCTCGAGGTGGCCATGTTATCAATATTTACTATTAATAAGTCAGCTGATCAATTACAGTAATATTATTTAAAAAATTAAAAAAATTTCATCAAAACTTGATTGTTTTGATAATTAAATTTACCTTTATTCATTATAAAATTTCTTTAAATCAATTTAAATAATTATTAGCAAAAAAGTAATAAAAAAATTTCAACATCTAATTATTATTATTATATCACGTTACCACGTGATCAAAGCCGATATATTTAATATATATTATGAGGCTTTATCGCGATTTTTATATGATAAACCGACTTATCAAAATTTTTTAATTATGTAAAAAAAATTTCTATGAAAATTGGGTTGAATTGGGTTAAAACCAACTTATCAAGTTTTTTTTTGTAGTATGCACGCCTTCTTACAAACTAGTATAGAATGAGATTAACTAGAATTTTCTACTGGTAGAAATGACAGGATCATTATAGATCTTCGCATATTTTCCTAACGCCCAAATTGCAAAAATAAATTTATAATTT